TGTGGATAAAAAAAATTAATTCTTAGTAGGTAAGATGTAGAGAATTGAAGTACTACAACTCATTAAATGCACGGTTACCCAAAATGAGGATATAAATATTAATCAAACACTACTCTCTATAAATATTAATCAAACACTGCTCATCTCCGCACAAGTGCGGAGTTCCAACTTCGCACTTAGATGTGGAGTTCAACTCCACATTATGCGGAGCTCAGCTCCGCACTTAGATGTCGAGTTCAACTCGCACTATGCGGAGTTGGAACTCCGCACTATGTGGAGCTCATCTCCGTATTGTGTGGAGTAGTGCACTCCTCACACACAATGCGGAAATCACCTCCGCACGATGCGGAGTAGTGCACTCCGCACAATATGGAGATCACTCTGCACAGAGTGATCGGACCTTTTTTTTTTTTTTTTAAGTCGAGTTTTTTGCTTCATTCCATTCATACATAAAATCAAAATTTCTTCCGTGTCTCCGCACCCATGCCTTTTTTTTATTTCTTATTTTTTTCGCCTTTTTTATTTATTATTTTTTTGCTAATAATTCTACTTATTTACATTTCACACAAACCCTAAATACAATTTCACTCATTAATAATTCAATTCAAAAATATTAAAAAATATTCAATTCCATATATACATGAAAATCAAAATTCCCTTCGGGGATGTTGCCCTCGAGCCCCCACGAGGGCCGCTGCCCTCTCGACCTGACCGGCCCCCGAGGCCCACGTTTCCTAATCTGTTTTCCGTTTGTTCTTGTTCATTTTTTACTGATTTTGTGTTGTTAATTTAATTTGTGTATTTTATTTCATTAATTTTATCTTGAAGTAAGTTAACACACTTCAAATGGATCAAATAACATAAGAATTAGAATGAATTAGCATCCATTATCATGCATAAAAGTGCTGATCTCTATAAATGACATTTGAACACAACGTACAAAACAAATTTACCAAGTCATACTTCATATGCTTTAAACCATAACCAAAAGTATAATTTAATTTTAATAAAGCAGAGTGAGAATAGACACAGAAGTAGATAACCGAGTTAAAGGTTTTGAGGTCTACAATTTTATAGGAAATAACACACGGAATCCGTTAAAATTTAGCTAGAGAGAAATTATGATCCCTGAAAATTCTTTCGCAATATTTTTCTATTCTATTCTTCTCTACGGGTTTCGAGTATCAGCATTTGCTCACGTGCTATTAAAATACTGTACACCACAAAACTGTATCATAATATATTTCCAACAACCTGAAAAATAAGATCTTTCAGGAGATGTTTATAGCTTCCAGAAAAAAGAAGAAAGTCGTGATTCAAGATCCTGCAGAAGAAGAGATTGTTCATAATTTATTTGAGAAAACTGAGAACCTGTCTAGTAAATATATTCAGCAATCTATTGTTTATGTGAATTAATTCAGCAATCTAATGTTTACTATTTCCTGTACATTGGTCCCTTTCTACTTTTTTATTGGGCTGCAATTGTGCTATGATGTTGTGTATGTCTACTGAATTTTGCAGTTTCTGATGGTCTTGAAACTTCATTTGCTGGTCTGAAAAAAAAAAAGAACTGGGCTTGAATTTTGTTTTTGTTTTGTTTTTTATTTTTCTGCCATTTTCTTATGCTTTTGGTTCCTTTTCAGTTAACTTTTCGATTCCCAACTTCTTTTAAACATATAGAACCTCAAACTGCTTAATTTTTAGCTATTTATTTCAATTGATTGGTAACTTTTTGACAGTCGACCAGAAGAAGACCGTAAACCCAGTTACCCAGAGCTATGGCAAGCTTTCGAACATCCAATTGTTGTTCTCTAATTTCAGTGCTAGACACTTATCACGATTTCGACACCTCATTGTTTAATAGATAAAGCAAAAGTTGAAACTTCTGTATCTTTGTAAAATGAAATTCTGCTACACATTTATTAGGTTTTTAATAAAGGACATTAGAAATCAAGACAAGAAAAGTGTCATTTTTCAAAAACTCAATAATAGTTGCCAATGTTAGTACCATAGGTAAAATAGATCAGTGTTTCTTGCTCATGCTTTTTTTTTCTCTCTACTATAAAGAGATGATGACCTTTATACTAGTCATTTTTGGTACCCTACTTTCACACTCGAACAGGTTTGGAAGTATTGTGCCTCTTCTCATGCCTTCATTTGTGCATTGAAAGTGTTTATTCACTGTTGAAGAACAAGTTCTCCATTGCTGTGCACTTTTCACTATAGGTAACTTTTTCACCTATGATTTGAGTCATGTGAAGTATTAATGTGAAATTTCATGTTTATTTTATTCAGCAAGAGTTTTTGTTCTGGAACAGTTATGATGAAGTTATTTGAAGAATAATAACATGAGAGAAAGTAAAAAATACTTACTTATTGTACCAAAATAATTTAAGCTAATGTTTTCGTCACTACTGAAAATAGAACTTCTTTGCAATAGTAGTAGAGCACCATGGAAAGCGATGGTAAATTTCATTAATGTATTGCATTTCATCTAATTCATATGATCTCTTTAGATTCGGGAAATTGAAGTAATCAATTTTGTTTATGAGAGGTCCATACGGATTCTGTTTATGGGATGCCTCGTGATCAAAATGATATCATGGTAAAGTGTGAAGGGTGCAAGAACTGGTATGTACATATAATTTATACGCTACAAATGTATTACAAATGGAAAATGACATATCATATACTTGTTTGTTAGATAATTGTTATTTTCTTCATCAATTCTTATAATTAATGTTCTTTATGCATAGAAAGATGAAGGTTTTTTGTCCCTTAAAAATGTTTTCACTCAAAAATGAAATCACAATGGCGCAATAGCCTTCTCAAGCGGAGAGGATCCAATAGTTTATCGCATTTTAAGTTTAATGAATTACAAAAACAGAATAATGATATATTATATGAGTTAATTTAGGATTTCATACATGCTCTTGTGTATTCCTCATTTTCTTCATCAGATGATTGATCCTTCATGATGTTCTATTTTTTTTTAATAAGTCGTAATCTTTGTGCATTAGTTTTCATTTGTTTACTTAAACGATCTCTTTGATGCATTTTAGTGGATATCCATAGCTGCGAGATCTACACTATAACAAATGGCTTGCCTTTACTAAGAAAGAGAGAGATGCCCATTTCCTCTGTGGTGTACTTCTCCCAGACGTCGTTAGTCAAGAAATTCTGGTTAGCATACTAAATTCTGTCTATTGGAACCTCCAATTTTTTTTTCCTTGCGTGAATCATAATTCTGAATGTGACATTCCATTTAATAGGTTAAGAAAATGATGTACAATATGTGTGAGTACCAAGTACCATTGTATATACCTGTCATTTGTTTTTGGAAATTACAACCTTGAAGAAATTTTAGAATTTGTAATCTAAGTCTCTATGAAATGCAGGAACTACTGAATGTTTTGTATTTAGATTACTTTATTGTCTTGAATCTATTCCAAATTGTAGAAGATTACGACTATCAAGTACAAAATACATAAAATATAAAACTTTAACATCACTTTCAAAATAAGACACCCCGTACAATGAACAGGTTAAAACTAGTATGTGTGTGTGTGTGTGTGTGTATTATTTTTTTCTATTTATGTGATTTATATTATTTATTAAAATATATTTATTGAAATGACAAAAATATTTTATTGTGGATTGTTTAGAGCATCTCCAATAATAGTGTAAAATAAAGATTTAGATTTACCAATTGGAATTTGGAAAGCTCTTCAATAGAGTGATGCAAAAGAGATGCAAATTGTATTTTTCGATAGAAAATGTATCTACGGAAGGCAAAAGGTGGATTCAGATTTTTTCATTGGAGCATAATTTAGATTTAGTCTTTATTTGATTTCAAAATACAATTTTCTCTCTCTTATTTTAATCACACATTTTTTAATAAAATAATATTAAATGTAAATTCAAACATTTTCTTTATTTTTTAACTGCACCTTCTCCACCAATTTAATATTCCAAAGTGCATTATTTAATAAAAATGAGGCTAAAAAAACTCTTATAGATTCATAGATGTAAATGAGAATGCAAAAATAATTTTGAAAATATCAATTTACACGTAATTTTACGCTCAATTTTACAATAGTGTCGAAGATCTCTTAATACACGACGATGATATAGAATTTTTGATTAAAAAAGATTTTTTTTAAAAAAATTACTTGTAATATCATTCAACTAAATAATGTGTGATGGATAACCGCAGATAATAAAAAAATGAATTATAATTTTGCATTACAGCTAGCTAAACGTGGCTAAACCCAACGTACGAAAATTTCTTAAAGTGAAAGTTTGCAAGTCAAAATGAATTCTCCCTCCTCCAATTATTCAATTGCCGATTTGCCATTGGTACTACTATTTGAAATTGGAAAGCTGCCGATTCCCTCTCTGCAAAAGACAGGAACAAATAATTGAAGGAAACTGATGGGTGGAGGAGAAGCAGGCGAAAGTTGTCGGGAGAGAAGGGGCTTGGGAGTGCAGCGGCTGCCGCAACAGAAATTACGCTTTTAGATCCTTCTGTAACAGATGCAAACAGCCGCGCCTTCTCGTCGATTACAAAACCCCTGCAGATTCCAAATGGCTCCCCCGTATCGGCTATTGGATCTGCACCGGTAAGTATGAAATGGTATATTAATTTGGATTTGATTAAATAATTGATTAACTAGAAGACCTAGATGGGATTGTGTTACATATGATTATCAATGGATTGTGGAATTCTGCTCATGTTAATACTTTCCAGTGATAAATGTAACTATAATGTCATTTTTGCTTCTGAAAGTTGCTTAGATATAACAACTGTGAAATTCTCTCAGCTGAATGAGCTGAAATTGTAACCAAATTAAAGGAAAATAGAATGGGGAAGGGGGTAAATGAGAAAATCAATAAGAAAGGGGAGGGTAAAATGACAAACAAAGAGAATTGAGAGAATGAATTCTGAAATCACTACACTATATTCACTGCGGAGAAATTACAGATTGAATAAGAAGAACAGATTTGGAGATAAAGATGGGGGGGTTGGGGGGGGGGGGGGGGGAATTCTGTCCAAACTAATAATCTTCAACATGTCAACATGCTTTTCATCCCTCCATGTGCTCAATTTATAGAGAAGGATATAGAATATTCTAGAATGCATTTGTAGTGGTTGAGTAGTTGTATGGTTAGTTGAGGGAGCCACGACAGAATTTTTTTTGAGTCTGAAGCTCATTTTCTCGATTGAACTCGCATTGATTGACCTTTCTGGATTTCTATGTTTTGTTGGTAGGCAATCATATCCTTGATTAGTAGAGCTGAAACCTGAAACTTGGGTATTTGTTCAGTTACAAAGAAGAAAAATGTGTTTCTCCTACCTCCTTTCGTAATTTGAATATGAAAAAGGGCTCTCTTGATTTTACATGATATAGGCTCCAGTAGGTTCTTATCCTTGTCTTCTGGCCAAAGTTTCCATCTTATTCATCAAAACTCTGTATTTTATAGAAATTTCAGACAGATTCACTGCTACATCTATGTTGAATGGCTAGAATGTTGATACAGAAAAAGGATGAAGATAATCTATTTGAATGATTATGCCAATAACTAGGTTTTACTTATTTTACAAGTCTGTGTAAATGAGGTTCATGTGTTATAGGTAAGCTTTTGAATAATTCAGTTATGCATTGAGATAGATACTATTAAGGCAGTTGAAATAATTGTATTAAGGTTTGAGACCATTTACAAAGATTAGGTCTCTGTTTGTAAGATAGGCTAAAGAATATCCCTACATTCCAGCTGCCAGCTGATACATATCTCACAGCTTAAAATAAGTATGAAGCGTTACAACAGCCATGCCTAGTCTTATCCTCTATGACTAGGAGTCAGCTAGATCAAATGCTATATGTTAAATGTCCTAAAATAAAATCTTCTGCAACTTTGTCAGGCCATTTAATTTTTATCTATCTCTCCATATTCTACTCTTTTATTGGGATATCTCATCATTCTTGTGAATGAGATGATGTTTAAATCTTTCCAATACACTTCTAACTAGTCATCTTTTCTTAGTTCATGTAAATTTACGTGACATTTCTTGTTGGCGTACTTGAGCATTTCTTATTTTATCTATTCTAGAATGTCATAGGTTATGCTATGTTCATTTTATGGACGTTCGTTCATATAACAACCAAACAACCCAAAATTCAATTACCATAAAGTATGGTCCGTCTAATAACCATTAACTTTATAGGTGGTATAAATTTCTTTTACACTACTTCAGTTTGTCTAATTTTTTCTAATCCTGTACATTACATTCACTTCAAGTCTTTGCTATTGATGACCAAACCTAAGAACGATCATTCTTCATCACAAATGGCACTCAAACGTGTAAACGTGAAGACTCTTAATGATATCCTTGCAGGAGGTGCATCTCGAAACAAGTCTTGAGCGCTGTTTAAAACAATAATTAGGTTTTAGTGACTTTGCGTTTGTGCCTGTGTGGGTTAGAGACTAAGGGTCCATTTGGTAGGATTATTGTTGTGCATGGAGCTGAACTCAGTGGAGCTTTTACTAGCAGTAAAGCAAAACTATTGATTGTTTGGTTGTCAATCCAAAAAGTGCTGTGTATTATGAAATTAATTGTTTGGCATCATAACTACCAAAGTGCTTTTGTTTTATTACTTGTACAAATACTATGTGTTTAGTGCATATCATATTATTAATTTCATAATACATTTTAACACATCAACATATGTCATATATATGACATTTCATACTTAAAATGATAAATAATAATAAAATCTAATATGAAAACCTGTTATAAACCTGTCAAAAAGAATCTTTAAAAACAAATTAATGTAATATTTCGTCGATATATTGATATGTTGGATAATTTGGATGTAATCAGTAGTAAATTAATGTAATTTTGTTAATTGAAAATTTTCATTAAATACAGATTTCAAGTTCCCGCATAAGTTGCATGTAGAGTTTTTCGGAGAAGTTCAAAAATTGAGCTTTTCAAGAACAGCTTTAAAATGTTTTCTTATTCAACAAGCACTTTTGAACTTTAACCAATCATTCAAGCTTTTAACCTGAACCACTTTTGGCCTTCAAGAAGTGCTTTCGAGCTTTGTAAAGCCATCCCAACCACGCTCTAAGTTGTGCGGAGCTCACTTAATGTTTGAGGCAATTGAAATGGTTATATTAAAAGATGAACGAAATCACGATTCTGTTTGATTGGCTAAAATGCTCATTTGCATACTAGCTGCCGTGATGCACATGAGACTTCTGCCATGCTTTCAAGAGTTGTATTAGATATTGTTTTGATTATTATCTAGTTTAGTATTTGTTGAATATTATAAAATACATATAAAGAGATAAAAAACCCCTATCTAGCTATAACCTTCACAAGTTAGTGAAAAATACTTGTAAGCTGAGCTACAACAACAAAGTAATCTTTTTTACCAATAAATTTGGGTTCAACTATGCAAGTCTGAGCACTATAGTGCTTGTAAATTATGCTCTTATTTGAGCCCCATTTTGAGAGGAAAAAAATGCATTTTTGAATAGTGATTTTTGGAGAATGTGTGGTTAAAAAATTAAGAAAAAGTTTTCGATTCATGTGTAATATCATTTTTATTGGAGAATGTGCGGTTGAAAATGAGTGTTGGAAAAAAATGAATTTTCAAAAAAATGGGGCTCAAACAACCCCTATATATCATTATACTATTGGTTTCCCCTGGCAGTGGAAAGAAAATTAACATGACAGTTGACAATAAGATTTTTAATTGTGCTTAAATAATAGTAATGTATTTTACAGTAAATTCATCTAATTTATCTTGTTAATTTGGCATCTTATTGTATACTTTATAGTATACAAGTAGCTTACCAATGAAATTGAATGATAATTTTTTCTCTCTCACTTCCATCTACATGACTAAATCACAATTCAATTATTTTTATATTTCTTATGGCTGTGACTTTTTGATCTTGAGAGTGATCCTATATGGAGTGTTTTGATATTTTGATAGTATCTGGATACTTTTCATTTTCTGGTGGTTAGTGATGAACTTATTCGGTGGTTGATGATTTGATAATGTGATATTTTTCATATATTTGATGACATATAACTAGTTCCTTTTTCCACTCATCCTTTTTTTTTTTCATTTCATTTCATTTCATTTCATGGGTCTTTTTTATAACTAAGAAAGTTAGGTTGAGTTATTTTATGTTTTTTGAATGTGTATTTTGTCTTGGATGGCGGGTTGGCATGCGTATTCTTCACTTGTGTCTTCTTCCTGGCTGTATTCTGGGTTGGGCGTGTGCGCAATGGATCAATAGGTTGCACTAACAACAATTATGCTTCAAGAGAAAAGTGTAAAAAATTTGTTCATAAAACGTCTGGCATCTGAAGAATTTGTTCATAACTGGGATAATAAGCAACTGAATGCAGGACAATTAAGTGACAATTTCTGGATGGATTTGACATTGTGAATGTTAATCTTATCTTCGTCTTGAGACTGTATCTTTCATTTTTATGAACTCAGACATCCGGACTGCTGCAATCAGTTCCAGGGTTTGATTTAATGCTGGGATATAATACCAATAGTCCAAATAGTATATACCCTTCTATACCCAGTGAAAGCTCGGCAATTCCTTCAACTCTGCAAGTCAGCCTTCAAGTGCCGTCTGTACCAGCAGCTCCTACGCTCCTCGGGAAACGGTACAAGTTGGACATTCTTCCTCAAATGTAAACACAAGATTTTGTGCATGTTTTATGCAAAGTGAATGTGAACAGTTTGTTGTAGAATATTTTTGTGCTTGCTTTATTGCAATGTATTTGTCAATGTTCAGTTTGTTATAATGCTAACAGCGTTATCTTCCTTTGGAAAAACCTCACGAAGCTCCCACCAATTGTTATTTCACTAATAATTGTATTTAAGATGTACTGAGTACCGTCTATTGGAGTGTGCAGGGCAAAGCAAAGGCGTGATGGGGATTGGATGTGAACAAATTGCAACAATCACAATTATGCATCTCGAGCACAATGTAATATGTGAGCTTACCGAGAAAGAAGATTACGCCCCGCGATCCCACATACCCTCTGTAGACTATAGTTCTATGACAAACTGTACCAACTTCAGATGTGTATTTACAGGTGCAAAACT